AACAATCCTCTTTCTGCCTAAAAATATAGTCGGTTTTCCTTCTAAAGTACAAGAAATAACGTTCTCATAGTTCTAATGATTGAGTAACATAAGTCAGAGGATAAATGAGAAAACTTGAGCCATTGTTAGGTAATTATTTCTCAATAATATGTGATCTACAAAAAGTACAAATCCTCAATCTTATACATAGGCTTGTCTTGAAACTTCAAATAATAGAATACTAACATGAACAGTTAGGAAATTTAAAAAAGTTGTTATTTAAAAATTCGTCAACACTAATGTAAAGACGAAATTGAGCAACTCTTAAAACGGTTTTGGGAAAGTACAGTTAGTTTCAGCTAATCAGAGGACAAGTTACGAAAATGATTAGTTTTTAATGAAACAAAAAGTAGAAAAATAAAATTCAAACATATAATAACATCCTAACATGACTCAAGAATCGTTCATGGACAGTGGGATTCCTAGAAATTCTGAATTGAGAAAATCAAGGTATTTGTAAGTTAAACGTTGGCGAAAATAACTTCGCTAATGGTCCCTCCATGTTGATGGAAATGCTGTTTCATAAGTGTTTGTAGTCTTTTTTTTAAGCATTATTAGTATGAGCTAACCCTAAACTAGCTGAATTTTCTCAATAAAAGGTAGAATAGAATGGTCCAGCGAAACAGCCTATTTCCTTCTAGTTACGTTATTGCTACATTTTCTTCAAATGTAACAAACAAATGAACGACAAAATGTTCGTTTAAACTATGCACTGTGAACATAAAACCGTACTATGATGGCTGATTGATTTGCTTCATCGCCTAAACCTAATCAAAAACTCTTCAATTTCAAAAATATAATGCAACAATCAACTTACTTCTTAACAGTGAAGATCCCAACTCATATCAAGTAATTAAACTAAACATCATCACATATATCTCAAATTTACACAAGAATTTAAAGATAAAAATTAGTAAGAAAACTCTCTACTAAACAGTTAAGTGTTACATAATTGAACTGCCCGATGACTAATATGTTAGCAACTTTTCACAACCTCAATCAGTAGTAAACGATAAAAACGATAACTTCCCTGATCCAGTGTACAACTACCACATTCAATGGATCAAAAATACATATCAATTCATAAAATACTATTCTTACGCTTAATAAAACAACCATTGGGAATTTATTTTCTTAAAAATAAAAAAAAACAATGAAAAGTTTTAATGATTCACCTATTTTCAATACGAATCCAAACACATTTCAATTAGCGACTACTAAAAAGTGAGAATATGATCAATTAACAGGTCATCAAAGTCCAATATTTCAAAGTAGTCTTTAGTAATATGTAATTTTACTGCATAATCATGTGTTAAGATCAAACAACATCGTTCATCATAGGTTTATCTCTATTATCCAGTTTAATAAAAACATACTACACATAAAACTATCACTAGTTACCGATAACTTTCAAAGGATGTTAAATAAGGTGATGAATATGTTCGATTAATTCAAACGATTATAACAAGCGTTTCAACATCAAATATATCAGTTGCGTTATATCAACTATATTATATAACACGGTATCAGGCATGTAAAAAATGCGTACACTTAAAGTGTGAATGGGTGTATATAAACAATAAAATTTATGGAAGCTTAAGTGAATTAACGAATTCACACATGGTTAATCAGCTACAATCATAATAATGCACAGAAAGTAGAAAGAAACCGCAGTAGAAAATGTAATGATCAGTCCCATTGACCATATCCTAAAATTTTAAAGACATTTCATCACATATAAATTTACATAAGAATACGATAAGAATACTCCACTTATTAGATGCACTCAAAAGTTAAATAAGCGAATAACGTGATTATTCACTATTTGTAGATTTCCATCTGTTAAGTGGTCTACGTAAACTTAAATGATCAAAGTTTATCATGCAATAGTAATAATAATAATAACCATCTTCTCAAGTACAATTCATTCGAGACGAGTTATTGTTAGAGGTACCAGATATGACCATCTCGTGTTCGTCACATGCCTAACTATCCTATCAATCTTAATTTTTAAATAAAAGAGGTCTAGTGACGAGTTCTATTTCAAACTGACGATAAAATTCAAACACTCATCTATAACATGCTGACATATACATCAGTTTTGTGACTTTAAATGTTGAGTTACGGAGTTCATGTGAACTAACAGTGTGGTGATTGATCTCGAAACACAAGATGAAACACAATGCTCAACTGAACTGAACTGAACTAAACTGAGAACTGTATACAAACCACTGTTCAGGTAGGTAAGGTAGTGTTCCGTGAATGGGAACACAAACAGAAACGTTTGTTACTCAACATATCAGCACTGTGAGAGAAAATCCGATATATAGAAAGTAATAATATGGTTGACTACAGTGGAGGGAGGACAGGAGGAAAGTGTAAGACGGAAGATTTGAAGAGAGTAAACAAAGGGTGTTAGGTCGCGGGATAAAAGAGTGACATTTCCAAGATTTAAAGAACTTTAAATATTAGGTATATTTGCACTCTACTATGATGACGACACAGTCTAAACTGTCGAATAATTGGTTAAAAGATAATCTCACCAGAAGTGTTCACTTTCCTACATACAACAGAGATGAACATTAAAATGTAATAATATGAAGTGACTGGTTGACAGTCTTCCTTTCCCTGTCCTTAACAGTTTAACAGCTGATTGTCACTTCGAGAAACGGAGTGACAGGACAAAACGGGATTGGACAGTACTTATATAACACACATTTGAAGTGATTCAGTCGATGATGGATGTTGATTACCACCAAGCAAACTCAATGACCGTATCTCACTTCTCAATCGACAGCTTCATTACATTCGGTCGACGAATACTGTGTCGATGTCTGTTTGTGACCAAATGCTTTCAAGTATCTGTACATAATGTGCATGTGAACAGTGTGAGTGGTAGTTTCAGTGATAAAGATGTGAAGTGCAGTGTACACACCATATGTATCGTTGTTTCCCCTGTTGTAGTTAGTGAAAAGCACTCAGACAAATGTATGAAATATAGTTTTGTGACTAATTTTCACTGTCTACGAGAGCAAGGAACATGAATTTTCGTTTAGTTGTTATGATGAACAAAGTGGTGAAAATATATTTAAGATGGTTACTGCTTGTTTGACCTTTTGTGTACTTCCACTTGTACATGATAGTAATGATAATGGTAATATTAGTAATAATACTAATAACAATAAATACTTTGACAAACTAGTTTCGACTTGCTTGTTTACCAACTATTTTTAGTTTTGATAGTAGTGCACTGAAGTCAGGTGGTTGGTTGGTAGTTACCACCACCACCTAACTACCTACCTACTTGACTGCTGATGACTCACTAACTTATTCGAGATATGTTGCAGTCATCTAGTATGTGTCATCTCTTCAAGAATCCACATTGTGACACAGTTGAGTTGACTGAACAAAACATCATACCACCATACATATACCACAAAAATCGATTTTATTAGCTCAATAAGAAAGAAGGTAATTAAATAGTCATAGGTTATATAAAACGAAATGATTTAGGAAATAACGTTTGTTCCTGTTGATGCGAATGGTTGACATTGATTTCGAGATTTGTTATTGTAGATGTTGAAGCATTAATGTTTTAGATGGGAAATATTGGATAGAAATGTTCTTGTCCGATTCCACAATGAGTAGACTAACAAACAATAAATTTATTAAATTTTCTTGTGAGTTTCTTGTAGTTAACTATTTTCTATAAAGTCTTTATTACCATTACTATTTATTTATTTATTTAGTTAATATCATTGCTGTTATGATGTGATATGAGGTAAGAACAAGTGGAAATTTAGGAGTGTTGGACAGTTGTGTTAAAGACAGATACTGATATCAAATGCATCGCTTTGTATCAATATATATTTAGATACAGTAGGCCATAGGGATGCTTATGTACTATTTCGGGACAGAATAACCTCGTCCATTAACAAGAGATTTGTTTCTATTCATTTCTATGCTTTACAAGCAATCATTCCAGAATAGTGGTGTTTCAGTGAGGTTCCCGGGACTCCAGTTAATGACAATAATTTGTGTAAGGTAACTGTGGTTTTCACGACTTAATATATGGTAGGATACAACCCTACTAATATTCAAAATGTTTGAGATTTATTCCACAAGTAATTTGACGGTAATTGATACTCATACCCTATATAATTTAATCGAATAAAGCACATTCGGTTTTCAGTCAAAAGGGGGGTCAATATGAACATAAATCTATCCATTTTCATTTAGGCAGTGGAGAATTATCACTGTAAGTCGATTAGATCAAAAGCCTCGAGTACATAAATCTTCACTTGGTATACAAACTATGTTTAAAAGTTTATTCGTTTGAGTAGCTGCTTTATTTTTATCTGTTAGCTTTATTCCGTCTCTGTTGTCTAGATATTTTTTTCACTGTGGAATAATTCTGACAAATTTTAAATGAGTTAATTTACTATTATGCATATAGTTCTATTCTATTTGTTTAGTTCACTGTATTTATCTTAAATCTTTCATATTAACTATTGAAAAAAGAAGAAAAGAAGGTGATCTTATTTCAATAAGACAATATTTATCAACTCAGATTATTTCGTGTTAACACTGAGTAAAACAATTCTATCATGTCCAAGAAAATAAAGCAAACAAATAACTGACAATGTGACCTGTATTATAGTCACTGGTGGTGAAAACAATACACACCATATCGTCGTCAAATGAGCTTTAATTTCATGATTCATGATAATGTTGCATATTTATTGTATTGAAATGTTGTTCATGTTTTTCTCATTGGAGAAGCGTTTCTTGTTAATTCTTTCCTACCCTCTCTGTTTTCTTATATGTGTATAACGGTGGAATGTTACTTTTTATTTGATTACTTTTGTTTATGATGAATTTAGATCATGTTTTTTAATTAATCACTAATATATCGTTTTTTCTTATGTGAGAAATCCTGAAAATTTTTCCTTAAATTGCAGATTGCTGGTTGCCCTGCCGCTGAGAAGGTTTTATTAATGAATCGAGAATATTCCGACAATTCTGGATCACTGGATAATTGTTTAGATCTTGGTAAAACGGATGAATTGTTGAGTAGCAACTCTACATTTTGTGATGAGAAATCGGTAATTTTGTCACCAGCATTAGTATCAAAAAATATAGTACCAGAACGTTTGCCTATTTCCTCTGCTTCTTGTATGACTTCGTCTTCTCACCTTTCATCTACAGCTGGATTAACTACAACATTTTCTACTGTCAACAGTTCCATCGTTGCTACTACCACTACTACTACTGCTACTAGTAATTGTGGTGGTAAATCAATATCAAGTCATTCGAATTTATCGAAATCAGATTTACGTTTTCATAATCGTTTAACCTCAAATTTTGTTCCTCTTATTCCCAACAGAAATAATAATAATTCAACTGTTATTACTACTGTCACTACTACCCTGACAACTTCTGTTACTACTACTAATACTGCTGAAAATAATCATACTGCTTCTACTAGTAGTATTAGTGGTAGTAGTAGTACTGCCAGTCTTATAATTAATTCCAGTGAAGAACAGAATCGTTTAACTTCGTCAACATTAACTGGAACTAATTCAGAAACGAGTGATACTTCAACAAGAAAAAATATCGTCGCCCGTTTTGTTTCTCGTCCATCCACACTACTACCATCATCATCATTAGCTCAACCTTTAGATGTTATCAAAGCACAACGTCAAGCTGTTTCTAAATTTGCTGATGGAATAAATCAAACAATTCATCCAACTACGTCGAATAATTTAACACCGTGTTATTGGTCATCAGATTTACAAAATTTATCACCGATTCTTACACCATCTACATGGAAACTTTTGAAAAATTTAACTTCATCCAGTTGTATTAATACTACTACTACTAATAATAATAATGGTATTAATACTAATAGTATTCAACAATCCTTCCTTCTAACACCGACATTAAGCCCACTTTATCCCGTCTTACCTACACAAACATTCACTTCTATTACAAGTATGGAATCACTGAGATCTGTGAGTAATCCTACTATTATTATCACTTCTACAACCACGGGTACTCCTTATTGCTCTACTACTTTAACTAATAATAATAGTAACACTACTGCTAATATATGTACTAATAATGATAATAATGGAAGCAATAATGATAATGGTACTAATAGTACTATTGTTTCTGTGGTTGAATCTAATCCAACCACAGATGTAAATAATAACTTGCTCATCAATCCTACTACTATGACGACTACAAATATTAACAATACTACTTGCTCATCGTTGAAAACTACATTTGATAACTGTGATAATAATACTAATAATAATCGTACAAGTGAATCATCAAATATTCTTAGCAAAGATAATGATCACGATAAAAGTATTGTTGATGAATCGAGTCGCATTATACTAATGCAACAATCAAGTCAATAAAAATTTCATTATTCGAGTAAATGAAAATATCTAGTTTTGTCTTTCCTGCGTCAGAGCACTTTCCTGTATTCCTTTTTCCCCCTATATACTTCAATTTTGTTAATCTCTCGGTCGTATGAAGATGATAATATTTACAATATAAATGCACAATAAATGATATCAGGTCATTGTTTGATCTATCAATCCATTACTACAGATCCTTTAGGAGTGTAAAAAAAGAAGTTGAGACAACTGAATTGTATGTTTGTGTATGCACGTACACATAGTTGTCCAAAACATTTGCACAGATCTATGTCTTTCCTCTGTATCTTTGACTAAGCTTCCCTTGTAAACACAATTTTGGAACATCTTCAAATGTGTATATCTTACACGCATTTTTTTTCTGATTAGTAATAGTAAGTATTATTATTGTTATCACTACTCTGAACACTGGGATACACTCATGTAAAAAGAGACGTACACAAGTAAAAACAACAAATTGACTAATATCTTTATTTTTATGGCAGCTGTTTATTTAAATCATATTTATATAGATCCGATATTATATATATATATATATATATATATATATATATATATATATATATATATATATATATATATATATATATATATATATATATATATATATATAAACGCACAAGTCACGTAAATGTGTGGATTCATTACATTTGCATTCATTGTTCATTTGTTTACCTTCGACCTTGTTTACTTACGAGTACTTTTTGTTAAACTTGCATCTTTAAAATTAATTGGTTCATATTCATCTCTTTCTTTTCGGCATATTTTTATATTTACTACTTAAAAATTGTGTTAGTAGTTGGAGTGTCAAACAACAATTTCAAAAATAGATTACGTCTTTCTCTATGCAATGTTTCTAGTGAATTCTGTTGATTAACTAAAGGTGTCGCCAGATTTGTTGGACGCTTTTGTGTTAATTATCAAAGAAGCAATCATCTTCAGGTGAACATCATAAACGATATTGTAGAGAACAATAAATGTTCTGCACTCCTTTCTCTTTCGTTCCTTTATGATGGGTGTAAGAAGCAAAGTAATAATCGCACACAATATACACATTCATGTCCAAGTAGATCATACCTACCTCACAAATATTACGTGGTTTTCCCTACTACTAATAATACTATTACTGTGTATGTTTTTTTGTGCTTATCTACTACTACAATGCTGTTTATCCACCTACTTGCAACTACGCACCCTTTCATGAACACACACCATGTGACTGTACTTGTAACTCGATTACCTTCTTTCTTGTTTTATTTTATACATGCCATACCTACTATTCAAAATTATGGTAACAAGAAATACAAATAGATACAGATATTTTGTGTACATGTTATCATTTTAGTTGGTTAAATACTTGTTACAACGAGATTGGTGTTCACTATAGAGGCATATTTAGCTAACATATTAACTTACAATAATAATAATGTTAATCCTAATGATATTACTACCAGACTATACAAATTACTTATTCTCCTTCTTCATCTATCATCGTCTGTGATTAATAAAGCATAATTACATACTTATACATATATACATATTTATGTTTAAAATTTAGTTAGCATCTTTGAGTTGATTTCATTCTAATTTCTTTTATAAATGCAGATTGACTGTTGGTATTATACTCTAAATGTTCACATGTATGTAAAATAGAGTCAAATAAGAAATTGGAGATTTTCTTTCCACTTTGTCTACACGTTTCTCTGTTTCCCATTGTTTTGCAGTTCATTATATGTCATAGTAACCAACTGTCTTTCTATATATATACTCTGTACAAGATCGCATCGGTATATACATAAGCAAGTGATCTAACTAGACACGAAAGTTCATCATAAATTTTTTTTCTTTTCGATGTTTCTTCGTGTTACGATAAATAAAATTATACACTACGTAATTTTCGTTTATATCTTCGACTTAGGTTCTGGTTGTCCTCTCTTTTTTCTACTTGAGACTGCCACTGTCTAATTAATAGTTCAATTCTTTTTGTTTACATGTTTAACTTGTTCTTTTAATACAAATGTTTGTTAAATAAGATGGATTAAAACTACCAGCATGCACACAGACACAGATCACACGGAGACTATTGACGACTACTGTGTTGTTATTGACATTATCATCCTATTATTATTGTTATTATTATTAATATTATTATTATTGTCAATAATATTCTGTGAGTCAGAAATCATCTGGCTACTGATTTTTATTTTGCGCCTTGATGCTTTACTTTGTTTTTAGGCGCTATTCCCTCTTCAGATATACGATATATGCGAAATATTTGTATGTATATTCAAATATATATATATATATATAATTTCGTTTAACAGAATTACTTTAGTTTTTATTCTCTGTTTTCACTTCTTTGTTTGAATTCGTTCACTAATTATCAAGTTTATGTTGCGATCCCTTCCTGTGCGAGTAAAAATATCTGGTAGTCATTTGCAGTCGTTTAATCTATGGTTAGCATTATCATTACTACTGGAAAGGATTTTATCATTTCTTCATAGTTACGTGATTTGTGATTGTTTACAAAATATTAGTGTATTTGTAAATTATATCATTTCAACAATAATAGTAACTAAGGCTGACTGATTCCAAATTAAACTATAATTATGAAATGAACGAAAAATATTTTCTTATCGAACAAATTCATTACCAAAATATCAGCTTGTTAACTTGATAATTTTTTTATAGATTGTATCGAAATCATGTGTGTTTCCCGAAAAATTTGTATGACCATCAAGTACGTTACACTGATTGATCTACACTGACATGATTAACTGGATGTGTTCATCATGAATTCATTTAGGAAGAAACAGGTTTGAAGTCATAATATATCTAGAAAAACAAGCAAACAGTGATTAGTTATCCCAAACCTGATTCATTTTTTCTACAGTTGGTTACTGATTAAGCAGTGGGTTGAAATGCTAAATAGTAAATTCTGTTTCTGACATTATTGTTATCTATGATGGTCCAGATATAAAGCATTTCCCGTAATAATGTGCCATTAGTTTGACAACAATTGTGTTAACACATTGAGTTTCGTTACAACTTCCAAGTTAAGCTTGAAGTAAAGCTGTTATCAAACAACAGATTATCTATTTTACTTGGCGTTTTTAATAACTTGATACAAATTAGGCCTTGGCACATCTGACTTGAAAAGGAAATTGATATGATAAAAGTTATTATATTTATCAGTCAGTTATCATTAACGTTAGAGCCTGGCACAGGTGTGCGTTAGCCTAAGTTATCACACCATATTGAGCTAGCGAGTTGAAATATACAGGATCAATCGTAAAATTGATCAAAATAATGTAGTAGCTGTAGTGATCATGAGAACGATTAAATCGTGGGAATTAAGTTTTAAAAGACAGAGTAGGAAATTATGTACGAAGTAAATACTGGGATTTAGAGTCGAGTGGAAAATAGAATAAATGAATCTGCACCGCTATGAATGATTCTGAGCTATGATTTCTAGTTTCCAACAACTGGTCGCTGTTATCACGCGGGCAGCAACCAGGTAGTCAACATCTGTATATACAGGCACCTTCTGACACGTTGAAGTTAATGCTTCCTTGATTTTTTTTCAGTTGTCCTCCATCGTAGTTTCTTCTTCTTTCATCGGATCGTGTAAGGCCTGGAAGCTGTTGTTGAGAGTTATTTTGGATTCGTTGAGTTTGTTAGTATCTCGTATGGAGGCTGTATCGAATCTTTGTACTGCTATTTCCCCAGTTGTCCAGTGTTTCTTTGGCTTCAGTCTCATATCAGCCACAACCAGGTGATGATCTGAAGCTATGTCAGCTCCTATCCTGGTTCTCATGTCTTCTATTGACCATCTGAAATGTTTAGTGATGCGAATATGATCTATCTGGTTGTTAGTGGTGTGATCTGATGAGACCAATTCAGCTTTGTGTATGTGTCTGTGTGGGAATATTGTGCTGCCTGTAAACAATCTGTTCAATGCACATGAGTTTGCAAATATCTCCATTCTCGTTTCTCTCTCCCAGTCCATGTCGTCTCATGATATCTTCATATTCGGTGTTGTTCATTCCCACTTTGGCGTTTAGGTCTTCCGTCAGGATGGTGAGGTCCTTTATTGGGCACTTTGCTATGATTGATTGCATGTTCTCATGGGATCGATCTTTATTGTCGTCGTTGCTATCATTGGTGGGTGCGTAACATTGGGTAGCATTTATTGTGATCCCCTCCATAGCGACTTTGTGAGTGTGTGGTGTATTTTCCTCTTCGTGACCGGAGTACAGTAGCATCACTCTCGTATCTATCCTTTGCTGTTCATCTTGGGTCGAATGTGTTTCACTGATTCCGAGAACCGCCAGGTTATATCTCTTCATTTCCGTTGTTATTTGACTGGTCTTTTCGCTCTCCCACATTTCCCGGACGTTTGATGTACCTGTGGTTATCGTTACTCTAATTTTCAGAAGGTACATTGGCCTCGTGATTTCCGACAAATTCCCGCTTTCATCATGAGGCGTCATAATTCTTCTTTCAACTTCTACAGCAGAGTTTAAATTGTTTATTTTGGTAAGGGGTTTTTTGGCAAGGTTGTTTTCAACGGGATAGGGTTGTTGACCTCATGCCCATTTCTCATTCTTTATGTGGGCTTGGGAACGGCAGTAATTCTAGGAGAGCTACAGGCTGAGTTAATATGAATCTCTTTGCTTACCTAGTATTTTACAGCTTATAATTCATCTACTTATAAGTAGGTAAATTCTAATATCGACATAATAAACTGAAAGTTGCTGGTTTTTTCCAGGATGGCAATAATGTATTCTCAATAAAACCACTACGTTAATGAAGTATAGCAACATCAGTCGATCAGTTTGTAAACATATCTAGTGATGGACGGCAATCAACTAGAGGATCATTTAAATCCGTAAAGAAGTAGACGGTTTTTTCTTCTCTTTTGAAACTAATCAGTCTTTGTAAGGTCACTCATTTGGTAACTAGCATGGAGGCAGTCTGGAAGTAAACTATGTATTACTAAACCGAGAAATGACATCAGTTCATGAAATCAATGACTGCCCAGGTGAGCCATACTGTTCTTTGAAGACTTCAAAGTCAAAATCTGTGAGATTACTACGATAGTATTCATTTTATTGAATATCATACATTTAGTTTCAGTAAAGAATTTCCAGTTTAAAATACGAAATTTTGCATCAAGTCCATTTTCAGTGACAGTTTTTTCATCATATATATACATAATACATGGATTTCAATATAATCATCTCTTATTTCTCTGAAAAACACATAAGAAGGTAAAAATGCTAACTATGGTGGTAGTTCCACTTGAGTTATTTAGTATTTAGATTTGCGGTAGACTTTAAAATTTTTTCAAAGCTTGTGACATCATTGTACCAATAACATATATGACAAGCTCGTTAGATCAAATATAAATAGTAAAAACTTTACTCCAATAATCGTACTTTCGGAAAACGTATAGCTCAGAGGTTTTATTTTGGTTATAGAACCTGAAACCGGTAACATTCGCTCAATTGGATCCAATATTCTTCTTCCAGA